AGAGATAATAAAACACATTTATACTAATTTACTTCAAAATACAAAGTATTTGACAGCTAAATTAGTTACTTTACAAGCCTATCAATACCCTTTTACGATTATTGCTACTTTCGAAATAAAAGTAAAAACAAATTTATACTAATTTACTTCAAAATACAAAAGTATTTGACAGCTAAAATTAGTTACTTTAGCAAGCCTATCAATACCCTTTTACGATTATTGTTACTTTTCGAAATAAAAGTAAAAACAAATTTATACTAATTTACTTCAAAATACAAAAGTATTTGACAGCTAAAATTAGTTACTTTAGCAAGCCTATCAAACCTTTTACGATTATTGTTACTTTTTCGAAATAAAAGAAAAAAAACAATTATTTACTAATTTACTTCAAAATACAAAAGTATTTGACAGCTAAAATTAGTTACTTTAGCAAGCCTATCAATACCTTTTACGATTATTGCTACTTTTTCGAAATAAAAGTAAAAACAAATTTATACTAATTTACTTCAAAATACAAAAGTATTTGACAGCTAAAATTAGTTACTTTAGCAAGCCTATCAATACCCTTTTACGATTATTGTTACTTTTTCGAAATAAAAAGTAAAAACAAATTATAACTAATTTACTTCAAAATACAAAAGTATTTGACAGCTAAAATTAGTTACTTTAGCAAGCCTATCAATACCCTTTTACGATTATTGTTACTTTTTCGAAATAAAAGTAAAAACAAATTTATACTAATTTACTTCAAAATACAAAAGTATTTGACAGCTAAAATTAGTTACTTTAGCAAGCCTATCAATACCCTTTTACGATTATTGTTACTTTTTCGAAATAAAAGTAAAAACAAATTTATACTAATTTACTTCAAAATACAAAAGTATTTGACAGCTAAAATTAGTTACTTTAGCAAGCCTATCAATACCCTTTTACGATTATTGTTACTTTTTCGAAATAAAAGTAAAAACAAATTTATACTAATTTACTTCAAAATACAAAAGTATTTGACAGCTAAAATTAGTTACTTTAGCAAGCCTATCAATACCCTTTACGATTATTGTTACTTTTTCGAAATAAAAGTAAAAACAAATTTATACTAATTTACTCAAAATACAAAAGTATTTGACAGCTAAAATTAGTTACTTTAGCAAGCCTATCAATACCCTTTTACGATTATTGTTACTTTTTCGAAATAAAAGTAAAAACAAATTTATACTAATTTACTTCAAAATACAAAAGTATTTGACAGCTAAAATTAGTTACTTTAGCAAGCCTATCAATACCCTTTTACGATTATTGTTACTTTTTCGAAATAAAGTAAAACAAATTTATACTAATTTACTTCAAAATACAAAAGTATTTGACAGCTAAAATTAGTTACTTTAGCAAGCCTACTAATACCCTTTTACGATTATTGTTACTTTTTCGAAATAAAAGTAAAAACAAATTTATACTAATTTACTTCAAAATACAAAAGTATTTGACAGTAAAATTAGTTACTTTAGCAAGCCTATCAATACCCTTTTACGATTATTGTTACTTTTCGAAATAAAAGTAAAAACAAATTTATACTAATATACTTCAAAATACAAAAGTATTTGACAGCTAAAATTAGTTACTTTAGCAAGCCTATCAATACCCTTTTACGATTATTGTTACTTTTTCGAAATAAAAGTAAAAACAAATTTATACTAATTTACTTCAAAATACAAAAGTATTTGACAGCTAAAATTAGTTACTTTAGCAAGCCTATCAATACCCTTTTACGATTATTGTTACTTTTTCGAAATAAAAGTAAAAAACAAATTTATACTAATTTACTTCAAAATACAAAGTATTTGACAGCTAAAATTAGTTACTTTAGCAAGCCTATCAATACCCTTTTACGATTATTGTTACTTTTTCGAAATAAAAGTAAAAACAAATTTATACTAATTTACTTCAAAATACAAAAGTATTTGACAGCTAAAATTAGTTACTTTAGCAAGCCTATCAATACCTTTTACGATTATTGTTACTTTTTCGAAATAAAAGTAAAAACAAATTTATACTAATTTACTTCAAAATACAAAAGTATTTGACAGCTAAAATTAGTTACTTTAGCAAGCCTATCAATACCCTTTTACGATTATTGTTACTTTTTCGAAATAAAAGTAAAAACAAATTTATACTAATTTACTTCAAAATACAAAAGTATTTGACAGCTAAAATTAGTTACTTTAGCAAGCCTATCAATACCCTTTTACGATTATTGTTACTTTTTCGAAATAAAAGTAAAAACAAATTTATACTAATTTACTTCAAAATACAAAAGTATTTGACACTAAAATTAGTTACTTTAGCAAGCCTATCAATACCCTTTTACGATTATTGTTACTTTTTCGAAATAAAAGTAAAAACAAATTTATACTAATTTACTTCAAAATACAAAAGTATTTGACAGCTAAAATTAGTTACTTTAGCAAGCCTATCAATACCCTTTTACGATTATTGTTACTTTTTCGAAATAAAAGTAAAAACAAATTTATACTAATTTACTTCAAAATACAAAAGTATTTGACAGCTAAAATTAGTTACTTTAGCAAGCCTATCAATACCCTTTACGATTATTGCTACTTTTTCGAAATAAAAGTAAAAACAAATTATACTAATTTACTTCAAAATACAAAAGTATTTGACAGCTAAAATTAGTTACTTTAGCAAGCCTATCAATACCCTTTTACGATTATGTTACTTTTTCGAAATAAAAGTAAAAACAAATTTATACTAATTTACTTCAAAATACAAAGTATTTGACAGCTAAAATTAGTTACTTTAGCAAGCCTATCAATACCCTTTTACGATTATTGCTACTTTTTTCGAAATAAAAGTAAAAACAAATTTATACTAATTTACTTCAAAATACAAAAGTATTTGACAGCTAAAATTAGTTACTTTAGCAAGCCTATCAATACCCTTTTACGATTATTGTTACTTTTTCGAAATAAAAGTAAAACAAATTTATCTAATTTACTTCAAAATACAAAAGTATTTGACAGCTAAAATTAGTTACTTTAGCAAGCCTATCAATACCCTTTTACGATTATTGTTACTTTTTCGAAATAAAAGTAAAAACAAATTTATATACTAATTTACTTCAAAATACAAAAGTATTTGACAGCTAAAATTAGTTACTTTAGCAAGCCTATCAATACCCTTTTACGATTATTGTTACTTTTTCGAAATAAAAGTAAAAACAAATTTATACTAATTTACTTCAAAATACAAAATATTTGACAGCTAAAATTAGTTACTTTAGCAAGCCTATCAATACCCTTTTACGATTATTGTTACTTTTTCGAAATAAAAGTAAAAACAAATTTATACTAATTTACTTCAAAATACAAAAGTATTTGACAGCTAAAATTAGTTACTTTAGCAAGCCTATCAATACCCTTTTACGATTATTGCTACTTTTTCGAAATAAAAGTAAAAACAAATTTATACTAATTTACTTCAAAATACAAAAGTATTTGACAGCTAAAATTAGTTACTTTAGCAAGCCTATCAATACCCTTTTACGATTATTGTTACTTTTTCGAAATAAAATAAATTTATTATCAAAAACCTTTTTTTCTTAGTAAAAATAAACGAAATTTTTTACCTTATGAACTTTTGATGGAAATATGCAAATTTAAAATAATAAAGAAAGCCGCGAGCGAAGCGATCGGCTTAGTTCGAAGATTTTGATTCAAATCTTTGCTGATCTGTAATTCGCGGAAGCCGCGAGCGAATCGAGCGGCTTAGGTCTAAGATTTTGATTCAAATCTTTGCTTATATTCCTTAAATTCTTTATGAAACTCGCAACAGTTCCATAAAAAATTTTAAATTCTAAACTGTCGAAATTACCGATCGGTAATCACACCCTTCAGGGGTGTGTCACTTTTTACAGGCGTGTCACTTTTAGCTAAAATTACCCCTACTCATATTGTGTCACAGAGGTCAACAATGTCATAAAAATTTCAAACTTCCTGTTTTATAAAGAATATGGCATTAAATTAGACAATATTGATGACTTTGAAAAAATTAGTTTAGAAAATCTTGATATTCATACAAGTAATACAATTTACAGAGCAATTATGAATAATGACTTCGATGTATTCATCACATTCACTGAAAGCGAAGAATTTTATCCAGATCTACTACTTAATAATGATTTATATCCATCAACCTCGCAACTTACATTACTTGAATTATGTTGTTACCATGGAGCTGTTGATTGTTTCAAGTTATTAAGAACGAAATTTGAGAACGAAATAACTGAGACATGTCTACAATTTTCATTTTTAGGAGGAAATCCAGAGATCATGAGTGAATGTTTGAAATTTCATAAACCAGATGAACAATGCATGAAATATGCAATTATTTCACATAACATTGATTTTGTTACATTCTTGATAAATGAACACATGTTAAGGATTGGTTTATATGATTGTGTACTTTATCATAATCTTGAATCATTTTTAGTATATTTCGATCAAACTAATGATATTAACCAATGCTTTTTTTATTCAGTGATGTTTAACATTCCATCCCTTTCCGAATATTTCCTTTCAGAGGGTGCAAATATCAATCAGAAAGATAAATATGGAAGAACAGCTCTTCATATTACAGCATCAAATAATTATAAAGAAACAGCCGAGCTTCTTATTTCACATGGAATAAATATCAATGAAAATGATAATGATGGAAAAACAGCTTTTTGTTATGCAGCACTAAAGAATAGTAAAGAAACTGCCGGGTTACTTATTTCATATGGTGGAAATATCAATGAAAAAAATATAACGGAAGAAACAGCTCTGCGTATAGCAGCAGAAAAAAAAATAAGATAGAAACGGTCAAATATCTTTTTTTGCATGGTGGAAATATTAATATAAAATGTAAATTTGGAGAAACTCCTCTTCATATTGCAGCACGCCAGAATACATATGAACTTATCGAATTTTTTATTTCACATGATATAAATATCAATGAAAAGGATGTATATGGAAATACAGCTCTTCATACTGCAGCATATTTTCATAGTAAAGAAGCTGCTGAACTTCTTATTTCGCATGGTATAAATCTTAAAGAAAAAAATAATAATGGAGAAACTGCTTTTCAAATTGCTGTACGTCTAAATGTAAAAGAAACCGTCGAATATCTAGATTATCTTGCTCCCCGGCCTAAAAAAATGGGTAATACCAAATTATTTTAAAAATCTGTATTGAAAATTAAAAAAAATTGAAAATCAAATTTAAATATATTTTTTTAATCTTCTTTTTCTTCAGTTACAATAACAATAACAGGTCTATGATTAGTTCCACACTTCTCTTGTTTTATTTTAAAACATTTTCTCAAAATCTCAAATTTCTTGTCAATGTCAGCAAACTTTTTTTCTAACATATTTTTAGAAAAATTAAAATTTTTATCTTTTAGGAAATGTCTAGCGATTTCGCTATCTATATTCGAGACAAGCTTTTCGACAGCAAAACATCTGTCGACCATAAAATCTTACATAGTGTAAACAAGAAAGGTGAATTTGTTCTAAAGTTCTGTTTCTGGGAATATGACAAGAACCATAAAACATTAGGCAGAGAAGTCTTAAATTTGTCAATGACAGACTTGTTGACAGAGATGACGCCGATTGGAAAGATGAAGTCCAACAAAAGTTCTTAGAATGCAAAGAAGACACATGCGCTGTTCTTGAAGATGAAATAGAAAACAGAATAGAAGAGCTATTAAAGGACAAAGACTTTTACAAAATATGGTTCTGAGAAGTTTGACATAACTCCACCAGAGAAGAAGAAGAAGAGAGAGAAGAAAGAAAGAAAGTAGAAGAAGAGAAGAAAGACCGAACCAGTTCCAGAGAAAAAGAAATTTGACATGTAAAAATAAAATTTTTTTTTAGAACATTTCTGGGTCAATGTCAATGTTCTCTTCCTCTTTAGGAGCAAACACTGGCTTAGACTCTAAAATCTTTTTACCCAATTTACCTTGAACTTCAACTATCTTAGACTCATAATATTCATAGTCGTCTGCTTTCTTTGGTTCATAAGGTATAACAAGTTTGTATGCTTTGCCTTCTTTAAGGTTTGAAACCTTCTGTCAAAATTTTCTTTGACTGCTAACAAACCTTCTATGTCTAAGTCTTCAAATTTCGCACCATTTTTAGTCACAATAGCAAACTTAACTGGTTCGATGTTCCAAACTTTGCTGAATGAAGACTTTTCAAAATGGTAGAAGTAAACATTCAAATAAGCGAATGGGTCTAGTTCTTCTTTGACTTCTGTCATGTACTTATTTACTGAGATGAATTTGTCATCTTTTCTATCGGATAAAAAAATATTTTTTTTAAAATTTACTCAAAAAATTTTTCTTTGTATATACACCATTCTGAACATCTAAAAGACTTTTGACATTTGCCAAGAATGTTCGTTTAGAGCTCCATATAACCATATTCTTGACAATATTGTTTATACGAATCGTACAATGACCTTTCATCTAAACACTCAAAGTTAGTCTCATCTATGAACAGTTCATATACACTCTTGTTTGCTTCTAACAATGTTTGTCTCTCTTCGGTATGTGGAATTTGTCTTGGATTGAACTTAGAAATATCTAATGTCATGAAATATGAGAACAAGTGGTTGTAAAAGTCAGATGTCAAAGTTTCTGCTAAGTCGTCAAAATATTCTGTATCTTGCATATGAGAATCTGACGTTCTGACAACTACATATCTTCTGTCAGAACTTTCTAACTTCATCGGAACAGCATTGTTTGAAACCATAATGAAGTTTGCAACATTTTCACAAACTCTTTGGTCTTTATACTTTCTTTCAACAACTCCAACTTTGTCTGTTATAAGACTCTTCAAAGCATCTGAGTTCAAAACTTTTGTTGTATCTATACTTTGAAGTTCATTGCATACTATAAGTTTCATATTCTCTATTGAGGAGTTAAACTTGCCACAGATGTTTTCTAAGTTTGTCATATTCGGGTTCGAATAACCTTCTAACAGTTTGCACAAGATATCTGTAAAGAATGTGTTCTTACCTGTTCCTTGTTTTCCAATTATAATGAGAGCAGTTTTCATTTTTAGCACTTGGATGTTGTAAGATGTTTGCAACCAACATAAATATACTCATAGACTCTTTCGTTTCATTGCATATAATTTCTTTGACATGGTCTAACAAGCTTCTATAATATTTTCTTTCCATTCTACTTGTTCATATTTATATCCAGTGAAGATAGAATAGAAGTTTGGAGAAGGTGTATAAAACTTTATACAACGAACTGAAAAATCTTCTAACTTTGACAAGATATCCCAAGCATCTAACATCTTCATGCAACTTGTACAACTTTTATTTTCTTAAGTTTCTGTCTACATTCTTGTTCTGAAAACTATTGTTGCTCTTGGTTTGTTAAAGACAACATCCCATTCTTTCATGACATAACATTCTGGGGCAGAGTCAACATAAATGACTAAACGTTTCAAATTCTCGACTGCTTTGTTATAGTCTCGAAATGGACACATATTTCTGAAATGCTTGGAAGTCATAAAAATCTGAAACATCTATTCTGTACATTTTTATAAAAATAAAAAATTATTTTTTTTTATTCTTGATTTGTTGTGCATTTGTTGCATTTGTTGCATTTGTTGTTCTTGAGCTATTTGTTGTTGAAGTTGTTCTTGTAATACAATACTTTCACACAGTTGCATCTTCCAATTCGAAACTTTCTGCCGTCATTGACAAATACATAGGACATAAAAGTTTTACAGGAACAAAGTTTGCGTCAACTAATGTCAACGTTATACTTGCCAATGTGTTGAGTTCACTAAGGTTGAAATTCTGCATTCGATGAACATAGGCAAACCAGCAGAGAAAGTGTTGTTTATACGCATAAGTATTTTTGGTCATAATAGTTTCTGTCGACATTCGAATACACTTTGAACCTAAGTTTGAAACAATATATAAGATTGGTGTGCTTAATGTCAATGGAATAGACATTCCTTGTATGACACCTTTCCTGTTATAGGAAACTGTTGGTAGTAAAAAACCAGAAATAAGTTTTGTATTATAGCTCATATTGTTTATAGTAAACTCAGTCGGACATCAAACATAATGAAACTGCTCTAGTTGCAGCACATGTTACACTCGTACGTAAAAGTATTAATAAGTCAACAAAACCTGTTGGTGGTATATCTGAGTAAGTATCTTCAAAGGAGTATTTTTTACCATTCACAACAACATAAGTCTTCTGGTGTCAAAAGAGCAAAACAGGCTTTAGTCGTCATTGTGTTTAAAGTTAGTTTACAATATGTCCTTGAGGACTTTGTAAGTTGTTGTTATAGAATTATATGACTCAGGGTTTTTTAGTCGTAATAGTATAAACCACTATGTCTTCTGCCATTTTACTTAGCAAATAAATTTTAATGAAAATGTTGTGGTCGTCAAATATTTTTATAACGTCTGGGAACTATATTTTAAGTTCAACGTTTCACCTCCTTTCATAACGTATATCTTGTCAATGACATTGTATGAAACACCACAGCAAGCAATGTCGGGTTCTATTTCTTTTGATGTTTATATCGTCTGCCTCTGTCAAAAGTTTCAATAGTTCTTTCAAAATTTCATGAGGTGCGATGACATATGAGTTCACTTTTACAGGGTTTGTGTTCGACCAAGTTAACATTAGACCTAAAGCTTGACAAATCTTCTCCTGAGTTTGAAGTTTGTTTTTCAGTTGTTGGTAGTCGTTTCGAATATCTGCAACAGAACTTAAGTCTCTGCTAACTTCAGGGTATGTTGGTTGTTCTTTTACAGGAACAATTGTTATACCATCTTCGTCTTCGTATGGTTTCCCCACTTCAACATCTCTGTCTTTGACATTGACAACAACACTTTGACTGTTTGTTTGAGTTGGTGAATTTAACTTCACATCTGCCATCGCCATTAAACCTTTTGAAACACTTACGCTTCTATTTTTCGGAAATGACATTTTACTTAGAATAAAAAGATGGACGTATTTGAGTATCTCTTCGAATTGAAGCAAAACAAAGTTTACACACACAAACAATACAAGTTCATTGATAGAATAGTTCTTTATACAACAATGGAAAATGTTATAGAATAGCAGTCTTTGCTGAACCAACAATATTTTCATAAAGCAAAGAAAGTTGGTATAACTGAAATGGTGAAAGTTCTTGAAGCAGACAAAAATATAACAACAAAACTTACAGATATTTCTAAAGGTAAGTTTATAATACAATTTTATGTCAAAACTGGCGTACTGTCAATATTTGACGGAGAGAAGTCAGTTCAAGAACAACTTACTGACTGCTGCCAAAATCTGCTCGATGGAAGCTGTCGTTATGCCAATCTGAGGAGCCCCAGCAGGTTTCATCGAACGAATCTTCAAAAGAGCATCTTCCGTGAAAAGTGCTATTGGTTTTGTAAACTTCTTTGCTCTCAATTCATCTGGACCGTCTCTGTCACCAGTATATGTATTTGAACTGTACCAACAGTTGAAATACCACCCATAAGTCTTCTGAGTCAGCAAATGGAATGCCAAGCCAAAAGTTTGAAACGGTCTCCATTTGTATATTGAGTTTTTTGACCTCCTGTATGAGTCCATACTTTCACATATGGCATAATAGAACTTTGCATTTCAGGGTTAATGGTTGTTGTGAAGTTGTTGTTAAAGTTCATAGCATCTAATGTCAAGTTGTATGACCTCATATCCTCAACTGTAGAATATTCTTCTCTTGGATAGTATTTGCCATCTATGTTTATATGATATTTAATACCAGGGTTGTAGAAACAAGAATAGTCATTTATAGTTCGTCTGA